CTCCTGCTCCTGCTCCTGCTCCTGCTGCTGCTGCTGCTGCTGCTGCTGCTGCTGCTACTGCTACTACTTCTACTACTACTACTACTACTACTACTACTACTGCTACTGCTACAGTGATCGGAGGTGAACCAAGGGCCAGCCCTGCTTCCTGTCCGAGGCGGCCATGGGGATGACTTGCGATGTCTCGAGGTTCCCCGAACCGGGTCTCTCTCTGTAGCTCTGTAGCCTCTGAGGCAATCCAGCAGCAACTGCAGCTCGAGTCGCGGTTCTCGACGATCTTCTCAAGGCCTCGGTCACGAGAAGCTCTGCTCTGCTCCGTGTGGATTTGACCCCAGCGGCCAGCCACAGCTTCCTGCGCAGAATTGCAGCTGAAGCTTCCGCTGTGAGAAGGTCCTCGTGGATCCGATTCTGCGATGCGGATGCCTAGAGGAGGCCGAGCCACTTGCCACACCCGCTGACTGAACAGGGTTGAAACGATTGAGATCACTTCGTTTCCTTTAGCGCTGCCAGTTTGTGCCAAAAGAAGAGGCCAGTCTTGCAGTCTGCTCGCATAGGTGTGGAAAAAAGCTTCGAACTCCAATGAGTGGGACTTTCTGGCAAGCTGGCCGAAGAGTGCAGATTGACTGCGAGCACGACGAATGGAAGGCTAGCGCACACTGCTTGCCCAAGGCCACAAAGCTTGTTGATCCCTGCTCGGGTTCGAGCCCGATCTCACGGCTTTGTCCTTCTCAAGTAACTCGTACAAGGTGAGAAGCATGTTCGGGGCCCCAGCAACTCCACCGTGGTACTTTGGAGACTGAAGCTGAGCCTATGCCATGAAGAGCTGGAATTGCTGGTGGAATCCAGCAGTATGAGAAATACACATGGGAGGCAAGCTGGCCATGAACATTAACGCCATTCATGTGGACATTTTTTGGATTCGGTGGGTGCCACGAGATGCTTAATAAACGCCATGACATCGAGCAGGGAAGGAACCATCCATGAATTGGTGTTCAAAAGGACACACCCTGCTTCCTCGCAGTATCGTCGAAGCTTTGAAGATTCGCATGCTACGGCGTGACCGTGCAACTCCTCACTGATGCTGCAGAAGTAGCTTCGTAGTTGGAGGGGCAGATGCAGTGATCTCCAGCAAGGAGGCCAGAGGAGAAAATGGAAGCGACCGAACACCCTAGGATCCTGAGTTTGTGAGACTGACCAGCCTAATGAGTAATATGCGCGTGGGGGCATCGCGCAGCATCATTCAGCAAAATTCTCAACTCATTAAGTTGTTTGTCAGACAGACAGGAAAGGCGACAGAGGCAGACACAGACCACAGACATTTTGTCAGAACGAAAGTCGAAGAAGCACGGAAAGAGAGACAGACAGATCGAGAGGAAAGGCGACGGAGGAAGACACAGACATCGGAGAGAGAGACAGATAGACACAATCAGCAGAAACTGAGAGACCGACGAGCGGACAGCCGTGCAGAGAGCTACCAGCCACCCACCTACGCGTCCACCTACACGAACACCTGGCAGTCTCCCAGACGTACAGGCAGACAGACATTTTGTGTGCACAGTGCCTGTGCACGTTCCGGGTGGGCTCGCCCCGCCCAGTTTCTAGTTCAAGCAGGTATGTACTCGAGTGCCAAAAACTCAGTCAGCACAAGCTGCGGCAGCCATCCGGTCCTTTGCGGCCCTTTCTGGCACGTAGCAGGACCTAGATGTCTTCCGCTACGAGCTGGAGCGCGTGGAGCCACAGCGAAGCAGACGTCGGGAAAGAACCCATCCAGCATGTTTTTAAAGACTTTGTCAATTGAGGCAGCAGCTTTTCCCGCTTGACACTAAGATCGCATGCTGAGGCATGGACGCCTCCGTGCAGGGGACACAGCGCACGGTGGACCGCGTGGTCGGTGAACTAGGCCCGATGACATGTCAAGGAGTCTCACGTTTCTGGCTGCTGCAGAACATCATTCGCAGTGGCTTCCTGTGTCCAGGTCGCGTCCAGGATGTAGGAGACTCGCGGTGCCCTCGGAGATTCGAAGAGGAGCCACGCAGGTCTATCGACTCTCGCGCCACAAGGCTTCGGGCAGATTTGGAGAAGCGGCTCTCGCAGCAGAGCAAGATGTTGAATGTCTTCAAAATGGAGCTCGAGGTGGGTTTCTCCGTAGCTGCAGCAAATGCACCATTGTGCACCATGCTGGGTTCATGTTCACATGCACTGTCGCGGAATTGCACTGAAGCCTGACGCTTCCAGTGATGACGCTAGCATATGACTGACCCACAGTCTTTGTCGACGCCGACCACAACTCGGAAGGTGAAGCTGGTAAGCCTTGAGAATCGCTATGACAAGCTGAGTGATGACCTGTGGGGTGAAGAGACAGGCACCTCCCGAAGCTTGCACTGTCATGTGGACTTGTGGCAATGTGTCACAGTCATGTGCTATCTGCCACACGAACATCGAAGGGCTCGGGCACCTGTACTTTGGTCTACTTTTAGGTTGCACAAGCTAGATCAGGTGTGCTCAGCATCGGCCGACCTGTTTGGCAGGACTAGCGAAGGTCATGCATGATCTTTCCCACACGAACGAGGTGGTTGCTGCCTGAGCTTTTTTCGGCGCGTTGGTCGAAGCATAGGGCCATCGAGATCCCTCTGTGCTTTGCGTGTCGTGCTGTTTCTTCGTCGCAAAATTTCGAACCATGAGGTCACCAGCATGAGCACCGAGTTTGCTTCCATGAAGCACGACAAGGTCTCAAGCGCATGGGCTCATGACGACTTGAGAGCTGCAAGCCTCCAGTCGTAGGCGAGCATTGCCCAGCTCCAGATGGTCCAGGAGGAGGCCGGAAGATGCAGAAACTGTGGAGCGGATTCCATCCAGTAGAGGGGACTGTTTGCAGGGTGGTTTTGTTCGCTCGGTCGCTGGCGTTCGTGTTACCAGTAGTCGGCACATATTTGCGTGCAGGGTTGCATGCTTTGATGTCTTGAGCCATTTGCAGCCGGTGCCCTGTGCTTGTGTGCCACTCGTTTGCTCCAGTCCGGAAGCAGCGTTGCACGTGGCATGCATTCCGCGGTCTTCAGTCAAGAAGCGAACGAAAAACTCTTGAGAGGTCAACCGTTGTCAACATTCTGGATGCCGCTAGGTCAGATGATGGGACAATACTTTCGGAACATACATCACACCGCCCTCCTAGTCATCGGGGGGTGGCAGCGGTAGTCGGGTCGCGCCTTGCAGAGTTTGGAATCCGAACGCCGAAACAAAAATCGTCAAGGTCTGCCAAGAGCCAGCAGTCTGACAGGTTAACAACTTCACCCTGGAGACCAACAACAACGTCACCGCCCTGCAGCAGACTGTTGACAGGCAAGGCCCTAAGCCACTACTTGTTGTCTCAGCCTGGTTTGGGAGCTGCATTGCATGGGACGAAGCTCAGGATGATGGCAGACATGAAAGCCCACTTTCAGACAGCCACGAACACAGTGGCGGCGCACAATGCTGCCATGCTACAGGAGGCAAGGGGTAAATGGTGAGCATGGTGTACGTGAGCTAGCAGCAGTTAAATTCCCGGTTCGTGGAACATCGGCTAGACAGTCTATACTAAGTGATGCCTATGAGTCTGCGGAGTAGTCTACAGAAGACTGCGTCGATTTTGTGGAGTACTTTGTCAGTCAGCGTGAGAGTGTCTAAAGCGTATGTAAGCACCGTCACAACAGTTGCCTGAAATAGCTTATTCTTTTGAAGCGGCTAAGACTACTATTCCACGCTAGGCTAAGTTTCTTATACGCTGTTTCCGCAAGGGCCGCTCTGTGCGCTATGGCCGTCTCCGATGGTTACCTAAGTACATAGCCGACTCTGTTGTAGGGACTGGATCCCCGTTTTTAAAGTGGGTACTGGCGGTGCGGTCTGGTTTGATAAGAAGGATTGTTTTGGCGGTGTTAAGCGACATGCCATAGAGTGATGATTCTTCTTCCAATTCATGCAGAAATTGTTGGAGCTGCGGTGTGGTCAAGGAGACCAATAGTGTCTCATCTGCGTATTCGAAGTCGGAAATAAGATTCCCCTCTGACCAAGTATTGGTGGGCACGCCTTTGTCTAATACTCTGTGATCCAATCCTCGAATAAAGCGAAGCTTGTGGAGGTTCGGACAGCCTACCAAGAAGAGCAGGCAGCTCAGAGCACTCGAGGTGTGAGCAGTGCTATGCTTGAGCAAGTCTCTGTCATTTGGATTGGTGAGGAGTTGCGAACTCGGACATAAAACTGTGTTGCCGGTTGCACAGCTGTGGATCCAGGTTGCATGAGGCGGCTCAGGTTCGCAAGAAGGCTCGACTGCAGCGCGTGAGCGGAAGAGTTCAGTACAGGCATCCTGCATTTCACAGGTCGATGAGTTCATGCAGTCCGAGCGCCATGGCCTCGTGCAATGCGGAATGTAAGGAACCCCCTGTCTTTCCAGTCGTTTTACCTGGACCCGATCTCGCCTATGGTTCCCAGGTGAGTATCGTCGAACGTTAGAGGACAGCATTTGCGCCGCCGTCGTGGTTCTGGGCGGAAGCAAACTGCCAGATACTGGTACAAGTAGCTGCCAGACAGCTTCTCACCAACCTTCCTGCGCTTGCAAGAGGGACGTTCGTAGCAAGCTCTCGGCCAGGCAAATCCCAAGCTCAGACAGAAGACCTCGTGCGCCAGGCTTTGGGATTCTGTCATATCCTGAAGCTGGGGGCCGCTCCCCTCTCATGCAGGTGACCTCAGAAGTCGAAGAGGTAGGTGTTGGCCTTTGCGCTCTGTGTTTTCCACGAATGGGTACGATAGAGTCTTTACTTGGATTTTCGACAACTGCAGTGTAACTGCAATGGTTCTGTGCGACCTTGGAACTCCGCAGCCCGGGTCTATGCGACGTACTTAGGCAAGCTTCGGCGCCGAGATCGCAATAGCCAAGAGGCTAACCCGGAAGTGTAGTGTGGTGCGTGGCATGGTGAGCAGGGAACAACAGATGTTGCAACTTGCGAGAGAAACACTTTTTATTCTGCTGACAGGTTGAAATCAAAGCCGTGGCCAAGTCGCTCGCGACTGTGCCAAGAGCTTAGCAGCTTGGGTTGAGTGCGGCGATTGCCTCGTGTGGTTTTTCTTGCCACAGGCAAGATTCCTCGCAGCATGTTGCGCAGAGCCTGGAACACTTGAGCGCTGTGATCTGGACGATGGCCAGGATCCCGGCTACGAGCAATGGCACCTTTGTCGTTCTTATGCTGCCGCTGCTGAAAACCCGGTGGTGCGTGAGGTGCAGTGCGAACGAGCGGCATCAGCGTCAGCATCTCAGCCCGGCGACAGGCGAGCGGGTAGCTGCCAGCAGTCAGCATGTCTCTACGCTGGTTCAGGTTGGACCTCCAGGATGATCAAGACAGATCAAAAATCGCGCTGATGGGCTACAAGGCTCTCCTTGCCACTGCCACCGCTTGCTGTGCCTGGCTGTGCTATCCTTGTGCAGGAAGAGCAGTCGGAGAGGCCTCGAGGAGCCTCTTGTCGTGCTCAGTGCCAAGGGCCAAGATCTGGGGACCGCGCTGCGCTGTCACGGTGGAGGATCGAAATCCCGCAAGGGCCGAGCCTCTTCGCCCTCGGCAAGTGAGGCTTGTCAGGGACGCAACGTGCAGACACAGCAAGAAGCACAGGCCTTTGCCGAGGGTTCTTGCCGATCTACAGCTCATGTGAGGCAGATGGTCAGACCATCATCAACGTGGACGAGCGTTGTCTCAGCTGCTGCGGAAAAGCACAGACTGTTCTTTCAGGCGCCCTGGGCCCTTGAAGAGTACATACAGAGTGGAGTGTCGTGTTTGGCATTTCCAATCATGATGAGCTGGTGTGGACAAAAGGCTTCAAGATGGCCTGCTTGCAGTACTCTCCAGCGCCAGTTGTCTTCTCGTGCAGGGGCCCGGCCTGTCCCAGTTCACAAGTTCACGAACCCAAGTGCAGCGAGTGGTTGCAAGTCGTGTCGCACAGTCGCAAAGTGAGTTGCCAAGGCGCAAGACCTACAACAGGTCTGACTTACTTGGCCTTCGGGAGAAGCTTCTGTCACAGGCTAGAGCGGCTTCGACACCGCTATTCTCACCTCTCTCTCGTCTCAGGTGCACGATGCACTACAGCATGGGCCGGTGGAGTTTGACAAGGCCGAAATCTTCGGAGCCACGGCGAACGCGACGATATCTTCAGGTGCGCACGGGCCCTTGCCATGTATTCTCGTTCTTGGTTCTCTGCCCAGTAGCGCAGCAAGATGTGCAAAACATCGCCTGGCTTGCAGGTGCGATTGTGGACTCTCTGACAGGCATGAGTCTCGGCGATCTCGGCGATCCGTCAAGTAAGACGAATGCACCAAGGTCAGGACGGTCGCCTGAGCAAAGCAACAGGCCGCACCACCTGAAGACCCATCAGCAGGGGTTGCCGAGACTTGTTGCAAAAGACGGTGTGGTCTACTAGAACAGAATCCGTGTGCAGCGCAGGCTCCCGATCCAGTCCGTTGTCCATGCCACCCATTCAATCGGCGTGGGGCCTCCCAAGATGTTGAGGGAAAGAAGTTCAGCAATGTCTAGGACTCGCCTCGCTTGCTTGCCTCTGCATGGCATTGCTTGTAATTGCTGTGGCATGGTGCTTTTTGGACCAGATGAGCTTTTTCGCGCTTGTGGGTTAACCTAGCCTTGCCTTTCAACTACAGGGCTGTTGTAATGTGCAAATGGTTGCCGAGAGCCACTGCCGTCAAACATCGAAATGAGGCGGTCGACACCCATCAGAGCGGCATGAAGGCTCGCTTGTACAGACCAAGTTCGCGGGAGTTTTCCAACCAGGGCAGCCCGAAAAGCGGGAAGGCCCGCCTCTCCTACAGTGCATAACTCGTGCGCTGAAGTAAACGAAAGCGAGCTGTCTATTCAATCTTGCTCTTTCCCACTTGATTTGATGTAGACGACAGTGCTATGTTTTCCGCACCATTTTGTGGTCGGCAGGATGATCGGCAAACGTGTTGCAGGGGCTGATGTTGAGAATGTCTGAATGGAGGGCTGCGGAATCTTAACGCAAGCAAGCCACAAGTGCGTTGCCACCCTGAGGAAGGACCGTCCAACGCTCCGAAGATAAGTCGGATGTGCGTATTTGGGCTGGCCCCTCCGCCTCCTTGGGCAGAAAGTTGATGCCCAAAGGACCAGCGTGATGTGGTGGTTTGTCTGGCAAGCTAACGAAGCAAGCCGCTATGCACGTCCCATCCGCCAGAGAAAAGTCAGGCTGCATTTGCATGACTGCTTGCAGCGGCAGCAGCAGCAGCAGCAGCTGCTGCTGCGCAACATGTACGGGAGAACATGTTGAATGCGAAATATTGCGAAATCAAACGTGTGTGGCACTCGGCAGTGGACACCTCGACCAGTGTTCGAGGCTGACATGCAGGATGGTGCAGCAGCAATGAAAAAAGTCGAGCATTTCCTGCAGTGGCAGTAACTTGGCCTGAGTGGTCTTTTTCTGTTCGGTTGCTTGAATCTTGCAACAAGCTGAACAACATCACACCCGGCCTTGATCTTTCGCCGCGCGTGATGACGTCGTCCTGGGTGAGGGGCAGGCCACACGCATGGCCTGGCAGCTTGGGAAGCATGTCGAAGGCAATGCCTTGAGAA